TCAAAACATGACCCCTGTGGGTTCTCATCAAAACATGACCCCTGTGGGTTCTCATCATAACATGACCCCTGTGGGTTCTCATCAAAGCAAGAAACACTGTGGGTTTTCCATATTCTCTGTCACCCATACTCACTTAGCGCTTCTTTTTTGATAACGCTTTATTTGAAGAGGGAAACCCAGTGTGAATGAAAACTGGTTCAACTCGTGTTTTTTTCGCAATAATAATAATAATAATATAATAATAATAATAATAATAATAATTAAATAATATAATAATAATAATAATAATTAATTAATAATAATATATAATAATAATATAATAATAATAATAATAATAATAATAATCAGAATCAGAATCAGAATCATAAGAAGAAGAAGAAGAAGAAAGGGAGACAGTGATTTCAGGCATTGGCCAGGGAGGTATAACATCTTTTAGGAGTAAGAAAGAGCCAAATGTAAGTGTGGGGGAGGTGTGTGAAACTGTGGGGAGAATGAAAGGGGGTAAAGCAGACATTCAGGTGTATGGGTCTAAGAAAGACGAGGTGAAGCATAGAAGCATAGAAGTGAAAAAGGTGAGTGTGCACTGAGGCATCTGTGGGGACAAGTAACGTTATCCATGGAGTCAAAAACGGAATGTATGAGAGTATAGTCGTACCAACACTTTATATGGGTATGAAGCATGGGTGGTGAATGTACAGTGAGGGGGAAGACTGGAGGCAGTGGAGATGTCGTGTCTGAGGGCAATCAATATGTGGTGTGAATATTATACAGAGTATTCATAGTTTGGGGAATGCAAGGAGGTGTGAGCAAGGTAACATTTATGAAGGGATTCGCGGAAACTGGTTAGCCGGACTTGAGTCCTAGAGGTGAGAGGGATATTTCCCGCACTCTGAAAATGGGGTGGGAATGTTTGCAGTTTGGAGGCGCGTCTGAAGTGTAGTGTCTGCGTGCCACTGGCATGACAGTGATGGAGTGATGATGAAAGTGTTTCCTCTTTCTCGGGTCACCCTACCTCAGTGGGAGACGGCTGGTGTGTTAACAACAACAACAACAACAACAACAACAACAACAACATAATCATAACAATAAATAATAATAATAATAATAATAATAATAATAATAATAATAATAATAATAATAATAATAATAATAAAACTACTGTCTGTCTGTCTGTCTCTGTCTCTGTCTCTGTCTGTGAGTCTCCTCTCTTTTTTTTTACACAGAATTTAACAGGGATAGGTTAAGGATCCCTATCTTTATTGACAAGTTATTTACAGATTAAGGATTCCTAACTTTATTGACAAGCTAAGAGCTGTTACCTACATCAGCTCATTTGAAAGCATTTTTATTGTTATGAGACATACAAGTAGGGAACAGGATGAAGTTGGACCCATCTGTGGGCCAGCATTTTCATTTGATCAACTGACTTTATCTCGTTGACATCATTATGCTGTAAGAATGTGTTCCAGACTCGAGTCATCCTGGGAAAAAATGATCTCAGATGAAGTGATGTTCTGGAGAAGGGTGCAGCCAGAGTGAAGTTGCTGCTTGCTGCCCGTCTTGTGGTACAGAAGCTTGTTTCACGCTGTCCTCGAAGTAGATCCAAGTGTGGTATTTTGACAATATTGGCCTTGTACATAACAGTAAGGCCACCCACATCCCTCCTGTGTTGAAGGCTCTGCTGAAATGACAGATCTATCCAGGATGGGTCCAGGCGAGAGATGAGACGTCAAAGCTCTGTTCTCTACTCTGTCAAGCAGTCACAGATGAGAAGGAGGGCATGCAAACCAAGAAAGTGGAGCATACTCAAGGTGTGAGCGTACTTGTGCCTCGTACAGAATCTTGCAACCCCTACTGTCAAGCAGATGCGAGATACGGAAAAGTGCTGTAAGCTTCCTGGCTGCCTTGTTTGCAAGATTTACAACGTGGTTTTTCATGGTCAGTTTGGAGTCAAATTTCACCCCCAAGGATATCAACTTCTTCCCCAGGTGCCAACACCTTCCCATTCATCCTTACTACTACATTACCATCATGGTGCCTAGAGATCATCATCATTTCTATTTTCTCAGGTGCAAATGTTACTTGCCATCTATTTCCCTAAGCTGATACAGCTCTCAGCTGGTGATTGATATAGCTTAGAGCAGCTGGCATTTCTTCTCTTGGATAAATACCCCTCTCTCTCTCTCTCTCTCTCTCTCTCTCTCTCTCTCTCTCTCTCTCTCTCTCTCTCTGTCTCTCTCTCTCTCTCTCTCTCTCTCTCTCTCTCTCTCTCTCTCTCTCTCTCTCTCTCTCTCTTTGAAAATTCAATTAAATCTTTCGTTAAATTTAAGTGGCCGTCTTCATGAATATTTCAAAACTTATGTTTGGGAAGAAAGAGAGAAGTAATAAGTTTAAATTGTTGTTTTAAGTTCAGTATATATATACACTGAGGTGTGTATCTGTCAGTATATATACACTGAGGTGTGTAGCTGTCAGTATATATATACACTGAGGTGTGTATCTGTCAGTATATATACACTGAGGTGTGTAGCTGTCAGTATATATATACACTGAGGTGTGTATCTGTCAGTATATATACACTGAGGTGTGTAGCTGTCAGTATATATATACACTGAGGTGTGTATCTGTCAGTATATATACACTGAGGTGTGTAGCTGTCAATGTATATATACACTTAGGTGTGTAGCTGTCAGTGTATATATACACTAAGGTGTGTAGCTGTCAGTGTATATATACACTGAGGTGTGTAGCTGTCAGTGTATATATACACTGAGGTGTGTATCTGTCAGTATATATACACTGAGGTGTGTAGCTGTCAGTGTATATACACTGAGGTGTGTAGCTGTCAATGTTTGTACACTAAGGTGTGTATCTGTCAGTGTGTATACACTGAGGTGTGTAGCTGTCAGTGTATATACACTGAAGAGTGTAGCTGTCAATGTTTGTACACTAAGGTGGGTAGCTGTCAGTGTATATACACTGAGGTGTGTAGCTGTCAGTATAAATACACTGAGGTGTATAGCTGTCAGTATATGTACACTGAGGTGTGTAGCTTTCAGCGTATATACACTGATTTGTGATGCTGTTAGTATATATACAGTGAAGTGTGTTGCTGTCTGCATATATACACTGAGGTGTATAGCTGTCAGTATATGTGCACTGAAGAGTGTAGCTGTCAGCTACACTCTTCAGTGTGTAGGTGTCAGTGTATATACACTGAGGAGTGTAGATGTCAGTGTATATACACTGAAGTGTATACACCTGTGGACGGAGGTCCACATCCTTGTATTGTATACACAGTACAGTATTAGCAACCATACACAAATATACACAAATATTCTCTATACTAGAGCTCTGTACAAAGTATAGAATACTGTCACAGGGATGTGTGTATTTGTATGTATATACGCCCTCACAGGTATGTATCTTCGTGTATCAACTCCATACATATTGCATATACTGAAATGGATTGCATGTATCTCTGTGTGCATACAGGAAGAGGTGTGTATCTGTCTGTGTATGTACACAGGGAAGTGGATGTGTGTCTGTGTGTGTGTATACAGCTAGTGGTGTTACCCCAATGTGTGTCTTGTAGCTGACAGGTTTTAGACGTAACTCAGTAATAGACCTGTCCGACACACCTTAGACATGACTAGCTAAAAGAACTGTCTTCTAAACTAGGCCTAGAGCACTAGTAGACCTATATTGGATGGGAGATAAACAAAAAGACCTGTTAAATTGGATTAGATCTGAACCACTAACATATTGGTCAACTTATCTTCCAAAGACACGAAGACTGACAAAGCTCTAGACTGAGCGAAACAGTGCCACACGTGTCCTTCACTGCTGTAGGTAGTAACGATGTATCGGTCCAGAAACCAAGCGACAATCTGCGGTTAAACCCAGGCAAACAACTTTTCTTAACTAATTCCTAAAAAAAAACACGCGAGTAAAACAATGTTTCCAACGTTAATTCTGCGCGTCTTAACTTTTTGTTTACACTCAAAACTCCTCCCACTCTAATAGCAAAAAAAATTCTAGCTGGAAAAAGTATTTTGGAATATTATCTGGGTATTTTCATGCTCCAATATTACGAGAAAAATATTGGTGGGGAGGTAACTGGATATTTTCAGCAGTGTTTTAAACGTTTGCTTGTCACATCATTATTATTATTAAAGATTTGCCGGTATTCTCCCGGCCCGGGCCTTTTCCAAGTGGTGGCCCGGCCTTGGCTCCCTCTTTAGAGAGTGTCTGAGACCTAAGTCTCCCATGGGAGGAGGCACAAGTACTTCCTCATCTTTGGGACCAACTGTCCCCAGGCCTAGCTTCTGGGACCAACTGTCCCCAGGCCTAGCTTCTGGGACCAACTGTCCCCAGGCCTAGCTTCTGGGACCAACTGTCCCCAGGCCTAGCCACAAGCTAGGCCTTTCTGGTCTGCCATCCCCGCCCCAAGGGGGCTAATGGGAATGACAGTCTTGTGAGCTGCAAGCTCTGGCTCAGGCACCTACCCTACCCTAGAAGGGCTGGGTATGGTGTCGATGCTTGTCACATAACTTTAAAAAAAAGTATATTGAAAAAAAATTATTATTTTCTATACCTTATGAGTTATATACTTTTTTTTTTTAATTTTGTGCCACCTTTTTTCATTCTTTTTACATATTTTAAGAGGTGGTAATTCGATTTAAGCCCCCGTCTGGTAAGGTGGTTTTTTTTTATTTATAAACACAAGATACCGGGTGTGTTTTGGAACATTCTTTGGAGAGACAGAGACAGAGATAGAGACAGAGACAGAGCCAGACAGAGAGACAGATACAGAGATAGAGACAGAGAGACATTACCAACACCTTGTCTGAACCCCATCCTGCGTCATGGAATACAACAGGGGAAACTTACCTAGTTTTTCTTCCCACTTCGTAATCATCACATAGAATAGGATAGCAGCAGCACACTGCTGAGGTATCCAGATTAAACAAAATATTAAACCATCTGTTGCTCTGTAGATCTGGCAGATGGCGCCTAACGGAGGTGCCAAACCTCTGCTGCAGTACGGAGGCGACGACGTCCCCCGCAGGAGCCTCCAGTCTTCCAGACCACTGGTCATCACTTTCGTCGCCCAGACCAAAGACCGCGGCTCAGGCTTCCTTATCGACGTCTCTTATATCATGAGAGGTGAAGCCAACAGTTATGCTAAGTCGTGCTAAGTTATCTTGTGGCGCTAAGTTAACCTGTGGCGCTAAGTTAACCTGTGGCGCTAAGTTAACCTGTGGTGCTAAGTTAACCTGTGGTGCTAAGTTAACCTTGGGCCCTAAGCTAATAAAAAATATTTGAGTTTTTCAGAATACAAGGAACCTAATTCAACCTAAAATAAATGTTGAATGTGGGTTTAGTTCTAGATAGTCACTTAAATTTGGGTGAGGCCAGTTACTAGGAGGTATTGTGTATATATGGCAGGTGTATATTTAGTTACTAGGAGGTATTGTGTATTATGGCAGGTGTATATTTAGTTACTAGGAAGTATTGTGTATTATGGCAGGTGTATATTTAGTTACTAGGAAGTATTGTGTATATATGGCAGGTGTATATTTAGTTACTAGGAAGTATTGTGTATATATGGCAGGTGTATATTTAGTTACTAGGAAGTATTGTGTATATATGGCAGGTGTATATTTAGTTACTAGGAGGTATCACCTACAGCATCACCTCTGGCAGGTGTGAAGGACAGCTAATTAACCAGAATTAGCAGGGAGTCATCGAGTCACCTGTGTCGTACCTGCTGCTTTGTCGCTATTGTGTACCTAATGAAGATCCAATTATTTACCACTCTCTCTCTTTTTTTTTTTTTTTTTTTTTTTTTTTTTTTTTTTTTTTTTTTTTTTTTTTTTCTCTCTCTCTCTCTCTCTCTCTCTCTCTCTCTCTCTCTCTCTCTCTCTCTCTCTCTCTCTCTCTCTCTCTCTCCCAGGGAGATAAAGCGGAAATTGTTTTCGAGAATGCATGTTAAACCCCCATTTAAAGGGCTCTTCAGCAGGCTGGAAGGTTTTGACACGTATATTTCCTGTACATATCTCTATCTAAGACACGACTGAACTGCTGGAACACCTGAGAGAGGTAACCAGGTCACCCTTGTAAGAAGGGTCAGGGTGGCATAACGAGTTATACTTCTGAATGGTATACTATCACGCTACAACGTATTTATTTCATTATTTTGATTATACTACTATGCCAGTATCTTCATTATTAGCTAAAACGAAGATACTGGATCATTGTACTATTGTCATATTCATCTTGCATCATTTGTCTATACTTTTAAGTAATGAGAATTGGCTATGTGTATTCATGTCTTTGTAGTGGTGTCAATGATATGTATAAGTACGTAACTATCATTAGATAATTCAAGAGTATTGCTGGTTTGCGTACAAGGAGAAATCTGTGTCCATGTCGATTAGGACCAAGTTAATTCATTCTACTGTGTATACCAGAACTCTCTGAGGAGACATTAAAAATCCCAGTCTCTCAGGTCTTTTAAGACTGAGCAACGTGATATACTATGTCTGTGTTAATTGAATTTCGTTGAATCTGTGTAATATAATGTCTTGTATAGATTATTATCATTTAATAAGTCCGATTATGTCGAGACTATGTGAAAGTAATGTCCTGTAATACTTTGACGAGAACTTCAAGGAACCCAAACAATATAATAGTATCAACACTCGTATATGGGTGTGAAGCTTGGGTTGTAAATGTTGCAGCGAGGAGGAGGTTGGAGGCAGTGGAGATGTCCTGTCTAAGGGCAATGTGTGGTGTAAATATTATGCAGAAAATTCGGAGTGTGGAAATTAGGAGGAAGTGTGGAGTTAATAAAAGCATTAGTCAGAGGGCTGAAGAGGGTTTTTTGAGGTGGTTTGGTCATTTAGAGAGAATGGATCAAAGTAGAATGACTTGGAGAGCGTATAAATCTGTAGGGAAAGGAAGGCGGCGTAGGGGTCGTCCTCGAGAAGGTTGGAGGGAGGGGGTAAATGAGGTTTTCTGGGCGAGGGGTTTGGACTTTCCGCATGCATGTGTGAACGTGTTAGATAGGAGTGAATGGAGACGAATGGTTTTGGGACCTGACGAGCTGTTGGAGTGTGAGCAGGGTAATATTTAGTGAAGGGATTCAGGGAAACCGGTTAGCCAGACTTGAGTCCTGGAAATGGGAAGTACAATGACTGCACTTTAAAGGAGGAGTCCGGGATGTTGGTAGTTTGGTGGTTGACTGTAAAATTGTCGCATCTGAGCGCCATCAACCACCACACTGCAACAACCACCATCAACCACCACACTGCAACAATCACCATCAACCACCACACTTACCAACCACCATCAACCACCACACTGTATCAACCACCATCAACCACCACACTGTATCAACCACCATCAACCACCACACTGTATCAACCACCATCAACCACCACACTGTAGTTAATTATAAACTCATTACTGACAACTTTCAGTTAATTACCTTCCGTCTCTTCTCCGTGAATTTCTTCAGGTAATTTCCACTTAATCTTAACAACTATTTACCTTAATTCTCCTTTATCTTTAAGATCATCCCAGGAACACAGTTTCTGCCTTAGATTAAAGGGAGATCTTTTAAAGCCTTTCTTCATTCCCCCGCCTAAGGGTTTCCGTAATTATCAGCGCCGTCTTCAGCAGAGAAAAAACAGTTTTTAATCTGAATTGTTCTACTGTTTCTCTTAGATTTTTCCTCCCGGGTTTAGAGCATGATTTCCGGTGTGTTAATTAGGCTTCTTTCTAGTATATGATGTATGTAATGCTCATCTGGAGGAGCTAAACCACTAGGGGTTGTGCAGTGGTGGACGCTACTCCAGCAAGGTTCAAGATCAGTGCGGTTCTTGATCCTAGGAATTGGGTTGAATTATGGTTGCCTGCCGTTACCTCAAAGGGTTGTATGGCCCTCCCTCCCCCGTCCTCTCCCTTACAGGTTTAGAGTTTCACGATACTTGTTGGTTGAAGGAATACGTTACAAGCCGATCGACCACGCAGTGATCATTAAAACTGTATATCCCCCGTGTCCCAATAATCATCAAGAGGACTTAATTCCTGAGAGACTAATCTTTCAAGTATGTATATACAAAGAAAGGTATACTTTTCGTCGTGTATACCCTGTGTAGGGTTGTGGAAATCTACCAGGCACTCTTGAAGTCGGAGTGCCAAGTCTTGAAGCAAAAGTGCCAAGTCTTGAAGCAAAAGTGCCAAGTCTTGAAGAAAAAGTGCCAAGTCTTGAAGCAAAAGTGCCAAGTCTTGAAGAAAAAGTGCCAAGTCTTGAAGCAAAAGTGCCAAGTCTTGAAGAAAAAGTGCCAAGTCTTGAAGCAAAAGTGCCAAGTCTTGAAGAAAAAGTGCCAAGTCTTGAAGCAAAAGTGCCAAGTCTTGAAGCAAAAGTGCCAAGTCTTGAAGCAAAAGTGCCAAGTCTTGAAGCAAAAGTGCCAAGTCTTGAAGAAAAAGTGCCAAGTCTTGAAGCAAAAGTGCCAAGTCTTGAAGCAAAAGTGCCAAGTCTTGAAGAAAAAGTGCCAAGTCTTGAGGCAAAAGTGCCAAGTCTTGAAGCAAAAGTGCCAAGTCTTGAAGCAAAAGTGCCAAGTCTTGAAGCAAAAGTGCCAAGTCTTGAAGCAAAAGTGCCAAGTCTTGAAGCAAAAGTGCCAAGTCTTGAAGCAAAAGTGCCAAGTCTTGAAGCAAAAGTGCCAAGTCTTCAGGCAAGGGTCACATATGTGTAAGGATTTGGCTAGTTTAGGCACACCTAGACACGTTGCGCTATTTAGTACAATACTTTCCGAACAGAGGAACAAAATGACAAGTCCAGTGACTAGGGTATTGTTACTTTTTTTTTTGTGCAGTACAATCCTTACGCTACCTCACAGGTATTGTAAAACTCCCTCGTTACCTCACAGGCATCGTACAGTTCCCTCGTTACCTCGCCCCTGACTGCCCACAATATTTCACAACTTATTCAAACTTCTTTCTCTTCTTACCCTGGTTATTTATTACTTCCGTCACGCAGTTAACACACACTTCTCACTCATCTCTCACCTTTCTTACCGATCCGACAAAACTTTCTCCCAATAAACACACGGCGGTTTCTTTTGTTTACATCTTCTGTCCTTTGTTTTGCTTATATCACCTATAGTCCTATACAATATATCTCTTCGTCCATAATCATACAAAATCCTTTTATTTCACGTGATTGCCTGTATATTTTAAAGTCTTTCTTTTGTTGACTCAAGAAATCGTAATGACACGATCGCATGTTGACGGCAATGAAGGGACTTGAGCTAGAGTTCGTCACGGCCACGCTAGCTGGAGATTCGTCTGTAAAAACTTGCATTTGTGGTCACAGAGGTGCCTGTGCTAACCTTCCTATGGTGTAGAAATATACCTAGTTGGATGAATCTTATTGTGGCTAGCTGGTCTAGTGGCTAACGCGACGGGCTGGAGTTTTGAGACTCTCTGATCGCGGGTTCAATCCTGGCCGGGGTATGGTTTATTTTGTTGCTTGTTATATCACTCGCATTTAAATTTTTACATTTTGCTACTGAAGTGGTTAGTTTATTGTGCACTTCATATTTATCCTGTGGATGGTAGCGTAAGAGCATTTGGATACACGAAAGGCCCAGGAACTAGGCCCCAAACAGCTGGAGTATATCTGGAATTATATCTACGGTTGATTTATCTGTTAGAAAATGTAGGAAATTTGCTTATTGTCTGGTATCTTATTTCCATTAATAAGATACCTTAACATATCACATAGTTTAGTATACTGTCAATCTATGTATTCCTCATGACTCACAAAATCGTAATGACACGATTGTAAACAAACCATACCCCGGCGGGGATTGAACCCGCGATCAGAGAGTCTCAAAACTCCAGACCGTCGCGTTAGCCACTAGACCAGCTAGCCACAATAAGATTCATCCAACTAGGTATATTTCTACACCATAGGAAGGTTAACACAGGCACCTCTGTGACCACAAATGCAAGTTTTTACAGACGAATCTCCAGCTAGCGTGGCCGTGACGAACTCTAGCTCAAGTCCCCTCACTGCCGTCAACGGTCTGGAGTTTTGAGACTCTCTGACCGCGGGTTCAATCTCGGCCGGGGTATGGTATATATTCCTCAGTAAGTGGGTAATTAAGTAAAAAGTGTTCATAAATAGTGACCACAGGATTAGACACATACTTTGCATTTAGTCTGGTCATCATCTGTGTGTCTGCCAAACTGCCAGAAGTACTTGTAACTAGGCCTAAGCCTGGCTACTGCAATATCAGTTAATATGTTAACATTACAAGTTGCTCCCTAAACGTTGTTATCAAAGTGAGTGTTAGATCTACTCAAGCTTTTAATTGTATTCTAATAACATTAGCTTTCATTATTTACTTCTCTCCTAATATTATTCCTAATACTGGACAGACTGAAGTTATATTCTCCCTTTACCTTACGGATACTTCCTTTGACTAACTTAACAGTTTTATCATGAAGGAGTAATTCAGAGTGTAATGGAGTCCATATAATTGTACGTTACTACCCTTTTTCCTGATTTTTGAGAGTCTGTATTTGGCTTCTGTAATGAGCTTGTTGTTAGTTATTATTTAAGTTAAGAACATTCAGTGATGACATAAAATCAGTGATAATCGTAGATTCACGCTTAGTGTCACAAGTTAACTATAGCGCCGTTAGGATGGTAAACAATTCAGTTTACAGTGTAGACTCCCAGTTATTAATTCTTATTCCTGACTTAACATAGTTTATATCGTTCTTAACTAGGGAGGTGACAACAAGAGAAGATGCAGCTGTCGGTTAGCAACTTCTCAAGATGAATTTTTTCTCTTATACTGTGTTTGTGTCCTTATCGTCTTCCCGAATTGCGTATTACATCATTTATACTCTGTATCCTTGCAGTCTTCCCGCACTGCTTATTATATAACATACTCTGTGTTTATGTACACTCATAGTCTTCCCGCATTGCGTGCCCTGTCACATACCGTACTTGTGCCCCTATTCTCTTCCTGCAGTGTGTATTTTATCACTTATGCTTTTGTGATAGTGTCAGTCAAGCATTCCTGCCCTGTGTTCACATGCCCAGCTGACCATACCCCTTCTTTTCCCTCTACCTGGGCAGCATGCGAGCCACAGACACAGGAACTAAGCGCCCCGCGAGGTCTGATAGCGTACCCACGCCACAACCTGCAGATGGACGGTGAGTGGCGTTCCCAAGGCCACGCTCACTATGGTCCTGACTCCTGCCAGTGGGTCGTTAAGGCTCCTGAAGGCTACGTCGTCAACGTCACCATCCTCCACTTCGACACCCGCACAGAGGACCACCTTGAGGTACGTACTGCCGCTGTTGCAAGATCGTGAGGTGAGTGTTGCATCGCGAAGTGTGTTGAAATAGCTTTTTAGTGTACCGTTTATTTTGCGTGTGGGTAATTTTAAATTCTTCAAAGCCAACAATAAACAAAAACTGAACTCTCATCCTGTGCATGAGTGGTTCTGTGCTCAGCAACAGGACGCTGAATCCGTCTCTCCAGATTCAGGCTGTATAATCATTTTTAGTTCCTAAACAATATATTGTTTTTGAAATTATTCTCCAAGCATTATTATAATTTGGTAAGGCTCTATGTAAATTAGAAATATTATCAGCACAAGTACTGATCCTTGTGGGAGCCCGCTGGTGACACTGACCCACTAAGATATTCTTCCACTTACCATTGTGACTTATCACTGTGACTTATCACTGATATTTTCATTTTTTGTACCTCACCATAAGAAATATCTCTGTTCTTCCCAGCCAACAGAATCCTGTTCGGGTTCTTATCATTAACTACGCCGTTGACTCAATAGGCTAAACTCTGGTATTCTTGCATTTTACAACGTAAAATGCTCCGAACTTCAGAACACCCGTAACATAACCTGATTCCTCCTTTTTCTTCTTCTCCCTCTTTCCTTTCCTCTTTCCTTATATCTCCTTTGGGTTGTCTTTCTTCTGCCTTGTGTATTTGTTCCTTTATTATTTATTTATTTTTTCCCTCTGTGTTCTTGCTCTTACCCTCTGTGGGCACCTAGCTCCCTTGTGGGCACCTAGCTCCCTTGTGGGCACCTAGCTCCCTTGTGGCACCTAGCTCCCTTGTGGGAACCTAGTTCCCTTGCAGTGCTCCTCTTAGTATTTGACTGGCTCCTCCTCCTCCTACCTCCCCACTACTACTACCTTCTACCTCCACTACTACTACTACTACCACCTCCTGCCTATATATACCCCTCCTGCTCTCATTTTCATTAGTGTGACTTTGTAAATGGCCCAAATCGGACCGAAACGTCGTCGTAAGCTTCTCTCTTTTATATCCGGGTTATCTGTGTATTCTTAATTTCAAAACTCTGCTTTATCTTAAGTACACTGCCTTTTCCTAGGATGGAATCCACGTCAGTTGACTTACCGTAGGTAACACTTGTAATAAGACTTGCCCACGAGCTTCAACTCTCCCGAGATTAACCCCGGGCCCTTTGATTGTTAGCCGGATGGACTATGACTGTCCTACGAGCCACCTACGCTTGCTAGGTTTCAAGCCTATCGACAACACGAGGATCACTAAGTGTCACAATTCACCTAAACACAAAAAGATAAGATGAACAGTCACAAAACCATGACTGGAGGACTTAGAAAATAATATAACATCTGGAAAGATATTTAGACGACTTTTTAATCTTTCTTTGACCATTATCAGGTCAAAACTAGTGTCACCTGGACACATTCAAGATTCTTCGCTCATTTTGCTCAATAAGAAACAAAATTATATATAAGTATCTAGCCATCTGGGTCTCTCCTCTCTCTCTCTCTCTCTCTCTCTCTCTCTCTCTCTCTCTCTCCTCTCTCTCAAATTATCAACATTCATCGATGTAAGAGATAAAAGGGTATTATATATATATATATATATATATATATATATATATATATATATATATATATATATATATATATATATATTATATATATATATATATATATATATATATATATATATATATATATATATATATTATATAATATATATATAATACCCTTTTAATCTCTTACATCGATGAATGTTGATAATTTCTGAGAGAGAGAGAGAGAGAGAGAGAGAGAGAAGAGAGAGAGACCCAGATGGCTAGATACTTATATATAATTTTGTTTCTTATTGAGCAAAATGAGCGAAGAAGTTTTTTTGCGAGTGTTTGAACTTCTTGGGATAGAATAAGAAGGGCTTATAGGAATGTTGATTATTTCTGAAAACATATTGTTGAGGTTATAGCATTCGCTTCAGCAGTTGTTGTAGCATTCATTGTGAAAGTTGTTCTAAGGACCGTAGCTGTCGTTGTAGGAGTCGTTGCTATGGTTACCTCTGAACTTGTGTTTACAGATATTGTGGGATGAGCAGTAATGGAGGTGATGGCGGAGTAGGTAAAGTGTCTGTTCAGCGGGTAGCGGATGGAGGATTGAGCCTCCATTATACTGCCTGTGAACCAAGAGGTTCACAGGCAGTACAATGCAGAGGTCTCTCCCTGGAATCAGATCTGTTATACACAGTGAGAGACTTCACTGGCATTCCTGGGGGAAGGACTGAGACCGGAATCATTAATTTAAAGATCTCCAGGGGTCTTAACTTGGCAAATTCCGAATCGATGTTATTTTTTTCTTGGGCCGTAGGGATACGAAGAATAGGGCAGGTAAGTACTGAGCAGAGAAAAGGGTGGTAGACAGACAAGAAGGGAAAGAAAAAGTTAAGTGGTCTATCCACTTTTCACTTTCTTTTAAGTGGTTTTATTTTCAATGAGAATTTAGGGACTTTCTTAATCCAAAATCTCAACACATTCGGGTCCTTCAACAAGATGGCTCCCTGAACGATGCATTTTTTCAATTGCTTTTGAAAACCACTGCGATCAGAAACGATTTACATAATATCTGCTGGTTTTACAAATGTCACACAGGCACGAACACAACAACGCCACCAGGTGACACCACTCACAAGTGCCACTGATTCACATAGATCATGACCCCTTCGCCTCCATTCTTGCGGCACTCACCTCTGTTATTGTGGCACTCACCTCCATTCTTGTGGCACTCCTTAGTGAAGCCCCATGCCACTATCACCATCATTACTACCACCACTATCACTACCATCACTACCGCTACCACCACTATCACTACCACTGCCACCACCACTACCACCACTAACACCACCACCACCACAACCGCCACCACTGACGTCTGTATCACTATTACCACCACCACCACTGACATCTTAGCCACTATCCCCACCCATCACCACTACTCAACCACCAGGTGCTGGCCCCTGTGACACTAACCCAGCCTTGCAATACTGCATATCACTGACACTAACCCAGCCTTGCAATATTGCACATCACTGACACTAACCCAGCCTTGCAAAACTGCACATCACTGACACTAACCCAGCCTTGCAAAACTGCACATCACTGACACTAACCCAGCCTTGCAATATTGCACATCACTGACACTAACCCAGCCTTGCAAAACTGCACATCACTGACACTAACCCAGCCTTGCAAAACTGCACATCACTGACACTAACCCAGCCTTGCAATATTGCACATCACTGACACTAACCCAGCCTTGCAATATTGCACATCACTGACACTAACCCAGCCTTGCAATATTGCACATCACTGACACTAACCCAGCCTTGCAAAACTGCACAACACTGACACTAACCCAGCCTTGCAAAACTGCACAACACTGACACTAACCCAGCCTTGCAATACTGCACAACACTGACACTAACCCAGCCTTGCAAAACTGCACAACACTGACACTAACCCAGCCTTGCAAAACTGCACAACACTGACACTAACCCAGCCTTGCAATACTGCACAACACTGACACTAACCCAGCCTTGCAATATTGCACATCACTGACACTAACCCAGCCTTGCAAAACTGCACAACACTGACACTAACCCAGCCTTGCAATACTGCACATCACTGACACTAACCCAGCCTTGCAATACTGCACAACACTGACACTAACCCAGCCTTGCAATACTGCACAACACTGACACTAACCCAGCCTTGCAATACTGCACATCACTGACACTAACCCAGCCTTGCAATACTGCACAACACTGACACTAACCCAGCCTTGCAAAACTGCACAACACTGACACTAACCCAGCCTTGCAAAACTGCACAACACTGACACTAACCCAGCCTTGCAATACTGCAACAACACTGACACTTAACCCAGCCTTGCAATACTGCACAACACTGACACTAACCCAGCCTTGCAATACTGCACATCACTGACACTAACCCAGCCTTGCAATATTGCACATCACTGACACTAACCCAGCCTTGGAAAACTGCACAACACTGACACTAACCCAGCCTTGCAATACTGCACTTCACTGACACTAACCCAGCCTTGCAATACTGCACATCACTGACACTAACCCAGCCTTGCAATACTGCACATCACTGACACTAACCCAGCCTTGCAATACTGCACATCACTGACACTAACCCAGCCTTGCAATACTGCACATCACTGACACTAACCCAGCCTTGCAATACTGCACAACACTGACACTAACCCAGCCTTGCAATACTGCACATCACTGACACTAACCCAGCCTTGCAATACTGCACAACACTGACACTAACCCAGCCTTGCAATACTGCACAACACTGACACTAACCCAGCCTTGCAATACTGCACATCACTGACACTAACCCAGCCTTGCAATACTGCACATCACTGACACTAACCCAGCCTTGCAATACTGCACAACACTGACACTAACCCAGCCTTGCAATACTGCACATCACTGACACTAACCCAGCCTTGCAATACTGCACAACACTGACACTAACCCAGCCTTGCAATACTGCACATCACTGACACTAACCCAGCCTTGCAATACTGCACATCACTGACACTAACCCAGCCTTGCAATACTGCACAACACTGACACTAACCCAGCCTTGCAATATTGCACAACACTGACACTAACCCAGCCTTGCAATATTGCACAACACTGACACTAACCCAGCCTTGCAATACTGCACAACACTGACACTAACCCAGCCTTGCAATATTGCACATCACTGACACTAACCCAGCCTTGCAATACTGCACAACACTGACACTAACCCAGCCTTGCAATACTGCACATCACTGACACTAACCCAGCCTTGCAATACTGCACATCACTGACACTAACCCAGCCTTGCAATATTGCACAACACTGACACTAACCCAGCCTTGCAATACTGCACATCACTGACACTAACCCAGCCTTGCAATACTGCACAACACTGACACTAACCCAGCCTTGCAATACTGCACATCACTGACACTAACCCAGCCTTGCAATACTGCACATCACTGACACTAACCCAGCCTTGCAATATTGCACATCACTGACAGCTCATCATACTCTCCCTGCATAACAATGCAAGATATAATGGAATATTTGGTCTTCATATAAGAATAATTTTCCTCAAAATCCCGGACACCAAAACTATATTCACAAATTATAATATTTTTCCAGAAAAAATATTCAAATTATATTTTATTATTGCAAAAATGTGAATTTTCATTTGTTATTATTTACGTTAGTTTTTTATTTACATGAATTTCGTTTATTGAGTTAATTTATTGCTTTCTGTTTATCATTTTACTGTATTGTGCTTTAATGTACTTATAATGTACTTATAGTGTACTTATAGTGTACTTCAATGTACTTAAGAGGCAGAAGATGGACTTTAACTACCCTCATACATCAGAAAGATGACTGAAACTAATTTCAGTTCTGTTTACTTAAGTCAGTGGTAAAGACACATGAGCACACATTTAGGACACTTGACTATGTGTTTTCTTACGTATCTTTAGCCTAAATGTGTCTGTATTATGTATCAAGTATTTTATTATTTTCATTCAGGTTATAATTTTTTGACACTTACCGGGATACCTGTAGGAACCTCGGAGAAATTTTTGACGAATCTTTTGATAATATTGATTATCAAAAGACTTGATAATATTGATTATCAAAAGACTTGATAATATTGATTATCAAAAGACTTGATAATATTGATTATCAAAAGACTTGATAATATTGATTACCAAAAGACTTGATAATATTGATTATCAAAAGACTTGATAATATTGATTATCAAAAGACTTGATAATATTGATTATCAAAAGACTTGATAATATTGATTACCAAAAGACTGATACGACTTACTCCAAATTTATTTGAAAAAAAAAATGTGTGTGCTTGTTAGTGAAAAAAAATTAAATTAAAATGGCGAAATTTACGTTGTGAGTGATAATGCTTACGAATGCAAATGAACTTTGATAGGCAGGAAGGTTTTGCCAATTCTGTGAATCAGGGTGTTGTGTGAATCTCACAGCGTCCATCAGGAGGTTGTTACTAACTCTTGGTGTCATCTGCAGGTGCTGGAGGGAGGAACCAAGTCGTTCTCTTACAGCGGAGGAACTCCTTCCAGGAGTAGCTTTGTCTCTCGAGGACCAGAGCTCATCCTCAAGTTCAACCCTCAAGACGACACTGACCGCACTGGCTTCCTGCTCCAGTACTCCTGGCTGCTCAGGGGTGAGTACAAGTCTTCCAGTACTCTTGGCTTGTTAGGGGTGAGTACAAGTCTTCCAGTACTCCTGGCTTGTTAGGGGTGAGTACAAGTCCTCCTTAAGTACTTCTGGCTTCTCTAGAGTGAGTACAGTCCTCCTTCAGTACTCCTGGTTACTCCAGGGTGAGTACAGGTTCTGCTACAGCACTCTTGACTTCTCAGGGGTGAGTACAGGTCCTCCAGTACTCCTGGAAGCTACAATGTTAGCTAAAGTCCATCATTAATCTTGAATGCTTCAGAGTGTACAGGTCTTCCTGCAGTACTTCTGGCTGCTCTGAGTACGTGTTTTCTTCCAGTATTTCTATCTCACTCTAAGAGATAATCTTCACATATCCAAGCTAGCTTCCTTCATGTTCTAACTTAGTTCTTGGGTTAAAACTCACTTTTACGAAGTTACTTTCTATATACTTAGCAAAACATACTGAAGATACTCTGCTATGAAATAAATATATATAGACTTTTCAGTGTAAACAAGAGGCGAGAGAGAGAGAGAAAGAGAGAGAGAGAGAGAGAGAGAGAGAGAGAGAGAGAGAGAGAGAGAGAGAGAGAGAGAGAGAGAGAGAGAGAGAGAGAGAGAGAGAGAGAGAGAGAGAGAGAGAGAGAGAGAGAAAATGCTATAGAAATAAAATATGTATTTTAAGAATCAGAGAAGTGTGTCAGGGAGAAACTGCGACAGTGTTTTGTCTCGATTGGAAGAAAGTTGCATTTTACGACGTCAGGAGTTGACGTGGTTCCTGACATCACCAAAGTGATGGAGGGTGTCTGTGGTATCAGGCATATTCTTTCCCTTGAGACACTCTCCCTTTCTTCTTCTTCTTCTTCTTCTTCTTCCTCTATCTCCCAGGGCTCTCGGACATTTGCCTTTCGTGCTTTAAGCGATTTGGTGCACCCGAGGACGAAGTCTTCAGGGACTTCAGGTGTCCTGGACGTCACACTGACGCGGTTGAAGGGGTCAAAAACTCCTAGTTCCAAGCTTCTCTCCTGCCTGAAATGCCCCGCCACGATAGTGACCTTCTTGGTACTTAACTAATCAACATTGTAAATACACATTGTAATCTTGCAAAGAATTTAAATCTTTATCTTTTCTCTTTATCTTTTGGTTCTAAATTTTGAGGGATTTGGGGGCTCCTTGGTTCTGAACCTTGTGGCCTGTAGGGTTCCTTGGTTCTGAACCTTGTGGCCTGTAGTGCTCCTTGGTTCTAAACCCTGTGGCCTGTAGTGCTCCTTGGTTCTAAACCTTGTGGCCTGTAGTGCTCCTTGGTTCTGAACCTTGTAGCCTGTAGGGTTCCTTGGTTCTGAACCTTGTGGCCTGTAGAGCTCCTTGGTTCTAAACCTTGTGGCCTGTAGAGCTCCTTGGTTCTAAACCTTGTGGCCTGTAGAGCTCCTTGGTTCTAAACCTTGTGGCCTGTAGAGCTCCTTGGTTCTAAACCTTGTGGCCTGTAGAGCTCCTTGGTTCTAAACCTCGAGGCCTGTAGAGCTCCTTTGTTCTAAACCTCGAGGCCTGTAGAGCTCCTTGGTTCTAAACCTTGCGGTGCAGGACCAGGACAGTGGTACGTGTACCACTGTCCTGGTCTGTCTCTCTACACCACCACAACCACACCAGGATAAATACCACGACTATCACCACGATAACTACCAGTACTACCACCACAATAACCACCAAGATAACGAACCCGACTACCACGATATCCACCACGATAATGATCCTGACTGCCAGGATAACCACCACGATTACCACGATAGTGCGTGAAGACAAATGATCATTTTGTCTTGACGTGCTGTTGGAGTGTGAGCAAGGTAACATTTAGTGAAGGGGTTCAGGGAAACCGGTTAGCCAGACTTGAGTCCTGGAGGTGGGAAGTACAGTGTCTGCACTCTGAGGGAGGGGTGGGGATATTTGCAGTTGGGAGGAGCATCTGAACTAGTAATATATGCGAACCTCTGGGATAGGCTGAATGCTGGAGAAAATTATTCTTCTTTTTACAGGAGAAGGGGTTACTAGCCCTTTGCTCCTGGCATTTTAGTCTCCTCTTACGACACTCATGGCTCACGGAGGAAGGATTCTTCTCCGCTTCCCCATGCATTTGACAGGATATAAATAAGAACAAGAACTATTAAGAAAATAGAAGAAAAATCAGGTGAGAATACATATATGCCTATGGATGTGTAGCGTGACCTATGTGTGAAAGAAATTAGCAAGACGTACCTGATATCTTGCGTGTTTATGAGACAGAAAAAAGACACCAGCAATCCTACCATCATGTAAAACAATTACAGGATCCCGTTTCACACTCACT